AGTCGTGTAAGCGAATTGAGAAGAAAATTGGTGAAGGAACCCTCCATTCTGGCTTGCTTTGCTATTTTCTGGAGAGCCTTTCTGTTTCTATCTGCAAAGGCATTGGATACATAAACTTCTGCGTGGCTATATGATAATGCTGTGCTTTTGTAACCACGTTTTTGTAACCTGATGCTTGGTCTCCAAGTTCAAGTTGTCAAGTGGGAATGTTACTCTTGTGGGCATTCCAGCAAAAGTCAGTGATTTGCAATTCTTAAAATACGTGAGAAGATACTAAGCAATTTATTCTGCAGTGAAGAATCAGTGGAATTATTCTTCCTGCAGTGAAACAAGTTATCATGTTCTTTCCCATGTGTAAGCTCACACTCATTTTTTGAAATTTAATAATGAAGAATTGAATAAATGAGATCCACTATCTAAAAATACAACCAATACGCTTGAAGGAAAGGAAATACGGGGAAAAAAGCCCACCCTGAAATTGTTTCATAGAAATAATAGAGCAAAAAATAATGCTGCACTGAGAACCTATAGGTGACAGCAGATAGTAAATGAACAGAATGTGCTTTCTGACAGCAAAACAGAATAGAGCGGTGTGAACAAAAGTACGGATAGGCACTATATCACATCTCGTACAAAAAATGAGGAATAATTCCTTTCTCTACAGAGTAGTAATGCCCCACCTAATGTGTGTAATTTTGCATCTTGGTGTATGTAAGGCTGAAAATGGAAAAAAACTTTGAGGAAAAAGTATTAAAAATCTGATAGGCATGTAGACAGTGGACTAAATCACGAAAGAACGCAGAAACCTCTCTAGTACTGCAGGCTACGAATGTGTGAATCGGTATGTGTAGTGCAAGCCAAACAATGACATAACTAGTAGCAGCATTTAATTATACGTTTATCTAGTGTTTATTATAACAAAAGCTGACACTGGATACCGAAGGAAATTCCCTAACTTCTGTATTATGGAATTGAGTTCGCGTGAAAAGTAGCAGTGAAGTGGTGGCTAAAAGGAATGAAACTAAGCAAGGGCATTTTTAAATACACTGTAGAGAGCTTAACCTCTCTGAAACAGCAAACAGCTCTTTTCAGTCATTCACAAAGGCAAATAGTTTCAGATAGGGCGTTCTTGGTCTTATATGCATCTGTTATATAAGTTGATAATTACTGATTTCCATAGAATTTGTCTAAGTAAATGCCGTTAGGCTTTTAGGGATGGAAAATGCTTGCAGGGTTTAAAAGATCAGTATCTGGTGGATCTGAAACTGTTACTGGCACTGAGATTCATCTTGTATCAGATTATACACTTAACAACGGGAGGGCCTAGTATAAATAAGCAGAAAAGTTTGACTTATGCTTGTTACTGAATGTTTTATAGCTCGCCTTCGTCTTTGTATAATCATGTTATTTGTAAAGACAGTTTTTAAGAGAGTTGTGCATTTTGCTTTTGTTTTCTACTAAACTGTTGTTTTATACACAAAGCATGGTTATTGAATGGTAATTCAGTTCTTACTTTGGGAAATAAAAGAGTCTGAGTCCAGAGAGGAATAAGGGTGGTGATTTCACAAAGTAACTACTAGTAATAGTGTTTTTAGACAGACTTTCCTGGCAAAGAACTCTTTCTGAGTGCATCTGAAATTAACAGCACAGCAAATATACGTTAAATGTTATGTTGTTTTCCTGGATGCGACCTCACTTTTTGAACTGGAGTTTTATTTTTTTGGTTTCCTTAAGAAACTGCTTAAAGCCTAATGTTACTGCCCATGCACATGTACCTAACTGCCTTAGAAATCCCCCTTGTTCTGATGGGACTGCGTTAGGAAGAAGGCAGAACTTAATGTGAGAAAATGAGGAAATGAAATGAAAGGTGGACTGAAATGCGCTTCTTGAAAAAGCAGCAAGTTGCTGTGCTCTATCACAGAAATATTATTACTGTCTTGTAATCCATCTCTTCTGTGTTTGTTCTTGGATATACTGATTTGAGGCTGGAATCTGTTCTGTTGGGGTGTTTGAGTACTGTTTCCAGTATTGACAAAAAGGAGGACAGAAGTTTGTATTTTGTTTCGTATTTCTGTCCTCTTTCTACAGTCTGTTATTTGATTTTAGATACTCAACTCCTGCAATCCTTACATCAGTATTGACAAAAAGGAGGACAGAAGTTTGTCTGTATTTTGCTTCGTATTTCTGTCCCCTTTCCACAGTCTCAGTTATTTGATTTTAGATACTCAACTCCTGCAGTCCTTACACAGCCCAAGATCTCAAAAACCTGTTCTTGATCAGGGCGGGAGATGGACAGAAGACTTTACTCTGGGTTTTTGTCACACCCAGTCTTCTGGATTAGTGGTCTCCAAAGTGGGGTGTGAAAGACAATCCACGGCGGTGTGAGCGGGCTGTTAATTAAAAAAAAATTAATTATTTCATCCTTTTTTACTTTTGATTTTTGTGTATATTTTATAATGGGCATAATAGGAGTACAGTAGTACATGTATGTAATTTCTAAACAAATATACATGTATTGGAATTGGGGGCGTGTTCTCAAGAAAGTTTGGGAGGCGTAGTACATGTATGTAATTTCTAAACAAATATCCGTGTATTGGAATTGGAGGCGTGTTCTCAAGAAAGTTTGGGAGGTCAGTGTTCTAGATAAGCATGACTGCACTTTTGTCTCTCTTAGTCTGTTCTTTGGTTTGGGGAGAGGGAAGAGGTTAGTATATTTTCCCATATGAGGAGCAAAGAATTTCTAAAAGTCCACCCACATGATGCTCAAATCCTATATCATGCATGTATTTGATGATTTTATAGTATTTTAATTGAAGTGGGAATGTTTCATTACTTTGTATTGTGGAAGATATTTATGTGATGATAAAGTAGTTCTGCTCTCAGTGGGATAGACGATGTATGGAAAGTTGTAGGATTCTGTGTTGGTTTTCGTTAATCTTCTGTTCCCCCCCAAAATTGTATGTCAGCCACCTTGGAAATGAAGAAACGTGTGGCAGCATTTTTAAGTTTGCGATTAGTTTGGCTCTGTGCAGTATGGTTACTGGTATTCCTCCTTAGCCTGCATCTCACTTGTGCTGGTGTTCTCATCTTCATACATGCCCTCTCCTACTCATGAACTGTATCTACTTGGGACCTAGGGAATGGGGATGCTTAAGAAGCCTGTTTTCTGCTCTGTTCTAGATACAAATTTGAACTCAGAACTCCTGAGTTAACCACACCTTATTCATTATGGTATCTAGTTTTTGGTCTTCAAGCTCCTTTCTAGGGGTGCAGATACAGTTATTTTTTAAAAGGTTTCAGCGTAGGAGGACTTACTGTATTTTCTAGGAAATTGAAAACATGAAATAGAAACTAGCTGTCAAAATTTGAAAGGTATCAAGAAAGAGTTACTGTAATTAATTCTTTATTCATATTTTTGCAGATTCTGGGCCAAAATCAGAGTTTTGTTTAAGGCAAACTCGAACAGATGATGCGACTTTAATCTAGTGTGACTTGCCTGCATGTATTTTCAAGTGCTCAAAGGGAATTCACATTTGATTATTTGCACCATAGTGCACTGCATAAAATATTCATAGAAGTGTCACTTTTCCATAGGTGGCACTCCAGGGCAAAGACAGGGACTTTGGGAAACTTTACATTTTTAAAGTAATAACTATGAAATGCAAGTTGAAAAAAAACATATGCTGTTTGGTACTGGTGTCCTGCAGCAACTGCCAAATCATTTTTAGACCAGCAGAAAATGATAATACCTGTATTGATTTTGACAGAGGTTCAGAGTTTGCTAGCTAGGGTTACTGTGAGAAGTTTCTGCAAATCAGAAGAGTGTGAGCAGTTAAAAATCATGACATATACTCTAAAACTCTACACTCCTGATTGCTGACCTATTAAGATTCAGTATCTGTTGTCTTCAAATGCATATCTACAGCAGTAGTGTATAGTCGAGTTGTGCGAATTGATTCGAACCCTGTAAAAGTTATAACGTAGCTTTGCTGGGGCTTGGAAGGGTCCAGCCTTTCTCAGAAGTTCCAGTTTGAAGCTGATGTGTCGATAACCAACCTATTTGCTTACAAAAATGTTTTTTGTTTTAAACAAATCTAGAGACGGATCTTGAAAGCTTGCCTTGTTGTTCAGGGTTGGATACTGGAAAAAAGTTAAGACTGTATTAAAATGTTGAAGAACATATTTGTATCTTAAATTTGGTTATATACTTTAGACCAAATTTGGGTTTTTTGAACAATAATGCAGACATTTTGATACATAGCTCCAAAAGGTGTTTTGGAAACGTCACTAAGAGTAACTGTCATGTGTTCACTGTATTAGAAAATGACTTTGTATACTAGCAATTTCCAAACGAGCCAAGAGTTTCATGGTTTTGATAGCACAGCCCAGAACAAGAGATTTAGTAAACTTACTGTGTTTCATGAATAAGAACTTTATTAACACCTAAAATAAAAATGCAGGCTCTTGCATGGCAATTTCAAGGAGGGAAATTGAGACAAGTCATTTTTTTAAAAAAAGCAATATTTATTTTTAAATGTTGAGTCTCAAGCTTTCATTTTAGCTTAGCCTTACAAATTTTGCCTTGATAGGTGTCTTTGAGGTCCTCAAAGTGATGCACGAGTTGGGGGTGGAACTTGATGCAGAAACATACACAGACTATGTTTTTAAAAACTTCGCTGATAGTGAAAGTGCCCGTGCCCAGCTGAAGGTGAGTTTACATTCAGAATTCATAAAAATGAGTATTACATGGCTTATTTTTACATGTCCTCTGTGAAGGCTTTAGATCCCAGTCGTGCTCTAAACATGAACTTGGTACAGTGAAGCCTGTTCAGAAGATTTAGATGACTTTTGAAAGAGTTGTTGCACTAATGGTTTGTTTACTGTGTCTTTCTCATGCTGCTTTTCTTTCTCCTTTTCAGAGCTAACCAAAATATTTTTGCTAAAGACTTACTATCTTTCTGTTTCCTCAAGTGGAAAACTAGATAAATGAATTATGTCCTTATTTATTTTTTTTTTTACTGGGGATTAGAAGTATTACATTTGTTTCTGGTGATTCTTTTTTTTTTTTTTTTCACTTGCTGAAGAATTCAGAGTTGCAGACTAAGTTTAACTGTCCCACTTTTTCTGCCTTTGGTAACTTTGTCTCTTGCAATTGATCTCACTACAAAAGCTGGATAATGCTTGGTCAGTAGCACCTTACCTGACTAGCCACATAGACTTCTGT